CATATATATATATATTTAAAGTTATTTCTCCCAGCTCTATCCAAGACCCAGTTCACCTGTTCATTTGCTCTTTCTTAGTTGAATTTGCTTTAAACAGTTTTATAGCACTGAATTTTAGGGCTATGTTACAATGGAAAAAGTGAACATAGAATAACTTGAATATGATTAGTCTTTTTGTGTATGTCAGTACCAATAACACTGTTTATAAATTTTATTTTCTTCATTCTGCCTCTTCTCACTTGCTAGACACGCTCTTCACTCAGGGAATATAGCACATCTGTCGCGACTCGAGGTGTGATCCATTCCAACAGAGCCCGGGGGTTTGCTCACTGCCAAGCAGGGGGATCAAGCTTTCGACCATTGCACAAACCCCAGTGGTTTCTAATCCATAAGAAGGTAAAAAGGAATTCTAGACGTTGCGTAGGTGAACTCTATGAATTGTTTTGATAAAGCAAGGGGTTTTTTAAGTTAAAACAAGAAAAATGGTTTATTCTTAAAAAATATTTGCCAGATTAGAATTGTGATAAAATGTAAAAAGGATGATTTTCCTAAATGTTTAGTCACTTTTTAAAGGGAAAAAAACCACTAAGAATTTGAGTGTACATGCCTGTTTCATTTATTATTTGAATTGTATTAGAATCAAAGTATAGTTAGTTATGATTAATAATAAACTAGCTGGCGCCTGAAATCTCAGCACTTGGGTGGCTGAGGCAGGAGGATTGCCTCAAGTTCAAGACCAGCCTGCACTACACAGTGAGACCCTGCCTCAAAAAAAAAAAGAAAAGCTCTAGGATACAAATTTCAGTTAGAAATAAATTTGATACCTGTTCTACTACATGATGGTCATACTATTTAATACAACATGCAGTCACACAGCCCTTAAAATAAAAGATACATGACAGAAGACATGTTCTGAGAACTGCACTGGTAGGTGATGTGTGGTTGTGTAAACATAGAATGGTTTTTTCTGGAAACGGGGTCTCTTGCTGTGTAGCCCAGGATGGCCTCAAACTTGTGACCCTCCTTCCTCAGCTTCATGAGTACTGGGATTACAGGCATGTGCCACCACACCCAGCTCATAGAATATTCTTACACAAGTTTAAGTTGTATGGATCAGTCATCTAATGTGGTCTCTTAATCAAATCAAGAGAGATGTTAAACCTGAGATCTATGAGGCTGCTGCTGGTATAACATGAAGTTATCGATTAAAACTAGGAAAATTATGTAGGACTGATTAGATAAACTCTTATGAGTATATTTATGCTTTATAATCCCTCTCTTGTGATAGACTTAGTGTGGAATACATAATCATATTTTTGTTTTATTTGCCTTTCATCTTTTTTTCTTTTCCCTGCAGTATCGGGAAAACTGCCTGGCAGCAAAAGCACTTTTTTCTGACTTCTGCCTACCAGCTTTGTGCCTCCAGACTCAGTTGTTACCATATCTTGCACTCCTGACCATCCCAATGAGAAATCAAGGTAATCACGGCTTTCCTTTTCCCAAAAAGAACTTTCATACCAATCTGTTTTTATGAGTCAATTCATGACTAAACTAGTGAGAAGAAATTTTTCCCTTTCTTTCTTTATTTTATTTTATTTTTGGTACCAGGGATCAAACTCAGGACCTTATGCTTGTGAGGCAGGCAGTAGCACACTGAGCTAAATCCCTGGCCCTCCCTTTCTTTATTTTTTAACCCCAAAGTAATATATACTTATTATTGATAAATGATATAGAAGCATACAAAGTAAAATGAAAACTACCTCCCCTTCAAGGTAAATTGTTCCCACCTTTCTTCTGTGTGCATACAAAGGCAGATGAGATAAGCTTCCGTCTGCTTCTGTCACTTCACATGGGTAGCCTTCCATGTTGTGTAAGTCAGTGTCAAAGCAGAAATATTAAAATGTGCTCATATCTAATATTTGTCTAAAACTTATAATTTTATTTAACTTTTTTTTTTTGGTACCGGAGATTGAACTCGGGACCTTGTGCTTGCAAGGCAAGCAACAGAAACACTGAGCTGAATCCCTGGCCCTTACTTAACTTTATTGATGAATATTTTGGCTGGTTTCTAAATTGCAGTTGGTGCCATTGGTAGTATATATGTACATTAAACTTACAAGTGGTAAGATTATAAAAAAGCACTACAAGCAATGTCAGTGTGCCTATAGCTGTGTTCACTTGGACAAGTGGTATTTCTTCTGACACTTGCTTCTTTATGAAGTTTACCAGTTTTCCTATCAGTTGTTCCTCTGTCTTATTTTGTTTTTGTTTGCAGTGCTGGGAACTGAACCCAGGGAATACTGAGCTACATCCCCATCCCTTTTTAGTTTATTTTGGAAAGAGTGATGGTCAGTTTCCCAGGCTGACCTTGAATTTGTCATCCTTCTGCCTTAGCCTCCCAAATAGTTGAGATTACAGAGATGTACACCACTCCTAGCTCTGAAGTTAAAAGATAGAGTTTACGAGTTGTCAGAAGAGAACTTTAGAGAGTAATTGTCAACTCTGATGCCATGAACAGTTTCATTGTAGAGCTTTGGAGAGAATGCTTTGTGTTGTTGTTGTTGTTGTTGTTGTTGTTTTATACTAGGGATTAAACTAGAGCCTTTACACTGAGCCATATCCCTGTCCTTTTTTATTTTGAGGCAGGATCTCACTAGGTCACTAAACTGCCCAGGTTGGGCTTAAACTTTCAGTCCTCCTGCCTCAGCTTTGCCATGTGCTAGGATTAGAATAGTATGCACCACACATGACTTGGTACTTAACCTTTTTTTTTTGAGACAGGGTCTCACTATGTAGTGCAGGCTTGCTTGAACTCGCAGTGATCCTCCTGCCTCAGCCTCCTGAGTGCTGGGGATTCAGGTGTGCACCACCACATCCAGCTTCTTTTCAGTTTTACTGTTTGAATTCTGCCTTAGGTTCTCTTTTTAATTGAATTAGTCTTTTTGATGAGCCAGATTTGGTTTTGTCACTTTAAAAAATAAACACCATTATGCTATGAACTTCCTTAATTACTACTTAAGCAACTTTCCAAGTATTAGTATGTTTGTATTTCCTGAGACTTACTTAGGAGTCCACTTAACTTCTAGGAGTATTGATTTTTTTCTTTCTTTCTTTTTTTTCTCTTTTTTGAGGCAAAGTCTCACTGTGTAGTTCAGACTGACCTTGAACTTACTATGAAGCCCAAGCTGGCCTTGAACTCATGACAGTCCACCTGCCTTAGCCTCTAGAGTGCTGGGATTATAGGTGTGTGCCACCACATCCAGTCTCCTTTGTATTTATTCATTTGGTTGTTTGCGTCTTTGTATGATTGCTGGATTTTTTAGGTGTTCATTTGTAATTCCTTTTTACTTTTATTTATTTTGATGTCAAGTTTTCCTGATTAGACTAGCACATGTCACTTTAACCTAACTCTGTCCCATTTGATTTTCCCCATATTCTTGGAATACTTGTTTTTGCAAAACAAAATGTTCCTGATTCATTTTATACTCTTTCTGTGCCAGTTCTGAGGCCTGGAATTTCTGGGAGCCCTGCATCCTCTTTGTGGGAATGACATTTCGGAAGTAGGATCTGGGCACTAGATGTGGTCATTGCTGTCAGAGTGTCATTGTTTGTAGGCTTTTTCAGTGAAACAAAGCTAGGAACTACAGTATGGCTATTTATAAAACATGAGTTCATTACCGGGTGTGGTGCTTCAGGCCTGTGATCCCAGCTCTTAGGAAGCTGAGGCAGGAGGATTACCACAAATTGGAGGCCAGCCTGGACTACATAGTGTAACCATCTCAAAAAACAGAAAATAAAACAACAGCAAAAAACCTAAGTTCATACCAGTACATTCAATTTCAAACACCACAGAGTTTATTTTAACCTTTTTTCTTTTCATATTTGTGCTTTTTTTTTTTTTTTTTTTTTTTTTCCTGTGCCAGTGATAGAACCTGGGGACTTATGCTAGTAGTCTTTACCACTGAGCTACTCCACTGACCCTGTCCTTCCCCTTTTGAACAATAAGAGCCATCTCTTTCATTTTGCTGAATATATTTACTTAATTTGCTCAGTATAACCCACTTCCTTTAGGCCCAGCCCTAATCCCGCAGCACACTGGGCACAGCCACCCCTTTCACAGAGTCCTGCTATAGGCCCTCGTGTCAGTTTCCTGAGCAAGATTGGGGCAGTACCGCCTGGAGCTTGGGAGAAAGGCAGCCTCTCAGCACTGGCTACCAAATAAGTCTACGTTGTAATAGGATCCTCCTGGTGATTGGTGTGCATTTGAGAAATACTGGATTAGATTATTTACATTGAAATAATCTAGAGAATCATTTTATCCATTCATTAAATATTGTGAGGATTGGGATTTAGCTTAGAGGTAGAGCAATTGCCTAGTATGTTCAAGGCCTTGGGTTCAGTCTGCACTGGGGAAAAAAATCAGATTCTAAGATCAAATCTCTAAGTTTGTATATCAAAGAGACTTTTGGGAAAAAAAATCCCAATTGTATAGTGGATTTAAGAGCCTTCATACTGTTTGTTATATTTGTAAACTTTAAAGTGGGTTATTTGGCTGGGATGTTGCCCATTGGTAGAATGAATGGTTGGTATGCACAAGGCTCTGGATTCTATCCACAGCACTGACAAAAAAAAGCTTAAGGGTAAAAGGTTTAAAAATTTTTGTCTAGCTGGTTATGATAGTGCATTACTTGTAATTCTATCACTCAGGAGGTTGAGTCAACAGGATTGCTGCAAGTTCAAGGCCAGCTTGAGTTACATAGCAAGACCTTACCTCAAATAAAATGTAGCCAGGCTTGTTGGCACATACCTGTAATTCACAAATTCAAGCCCGACCTGGTCATTTTAGCAACTTAACAAGACCCTGTCTTAAAAAAAAAAGGGCTGGAATGTAGCTCATTGCAAAGGCCCTGGGTTCCATTCCCAGTACTGCAAAACAAAAAATCAAAGACAAGAAAACAGTTAATAATGTATATTTGAAAACTGCTAAAAGTAAATAAATAAGTATTTGAGATAATATATTTGTCGTTTGTTTGTTTTGATACCAGGGATTGAACTCAGGACCTTGCACTTGTGAGACAGGTGGCAGAACCACTGAGCTAAATCCCCAGCCCAATACATTTGTCAGATAGCTTGATTTAGCCATTCCACAATGGATGCATACACAAGCATATCCTGTTATATACCATAAAGACAAATAATTTTAACTTATCAATTAGGGCCAGGGATTTAGCTCAGTGGCTCTGCACCTGCCTGGTAAGCACGAGGTCCTGAGTTCAATCCCCGGTACCAAAAAAATAAATAGAAATAAAGAAACTAGGCATAGCAGCATATACCTGTAATCCCAGCACTCAGGAGACTGAGGAGGATTGCCAAGTTCAAGGCCAGCCTGGGCTACATAGTGAGTTCAGGGCTGGCCTAGACTGTATAAGAAGACCCTGTATCAAAAAATAATAGCTGGGCATGGTGATACATGCCTGTAAATCCAAACACTCCTGGAGATTGAGGCAGGAAGATCACAAGTTTGAGCCCAGCCTGGGCAACTTCACAAGACCCTATCACAAAAGAAAAAATAAAGGGCTGGGATGTAGCTCAGTGCAAAGGCCCTGGATTCAATCTCCAGTGTGAATGAATGAATGAATGTAGCAGGTAGCACCTGCTCAATTTATTGAGACCCTGTCTCAGAATTAAAACTAAAAAGGGCTGGGAATGTAGCTCTATTGTAGAATGCTCCTGGGTTCAAGCCTCAGTACCACCACCACCACCAAAAGAAAAAAAAGGAATGATGGTGTTAAAAACTTTTCAAAAATATGTTTTCAGCTCAGATTTCTTTTATCCACGATATTGGAAAACTTCCTCTGAAACAACATTTTGAAAGGTAAGCTGATGATCTTAATTTGCAGAATGCTATTCCTGAAATGTTCCCTGAATCCACTCAACATGCAATCAAGAAATGTTATCTATAGAATCCCAAAGCACATGTATGTATGTACCCATGCAGTTACATTGTGGATCTCTTATGAAATATAAAAGCATGTATTCACCTTCTCCCAGTGGAATATGTCAGACTAAATGAAAGTATAGAATCAAAAAGCCAAAAAATCATTAGACAATAGTTCAGCACATCTTGCTAATCTAGAAACCTCTCTTCAGCTTTCCTGCAAAGAGGTCTCCTCTTAGGTCTCCTCAGCGTATGGTTGAAGACCTACAGCACCCAGGAACAGCCTCAAAAAACAGTGCCACCTATTTTTATATTTATTTTCTATTTATATTTCCTTATTTTAGAAATTCAGACAAAAGATAGATATACAGTATCTCTAGTATTCATTTTATTAGAAAGTAGCCTCTCTGCTATGCCAGTGATTTACACAAAGCCTACTTGACTTTGAGAATATGTTTGACTGAGTTTGATTTATTGGATTGGAATTACTCAGCATTTTTTTTTTTTTTTTTAATTTCAAAAGTTGTTGCTTACTGGTTACAAGGACAAAAGTGATGAAAGTGGCACCTATTGTGCCTTGTCAGCTTCCTCCTTTTCCTGGTCCCAGACGGAAGACTTTCCCTGCCTGGCTTTTTTCCTCTTTTGTACTTACAAGTGTATAAGGCCTGTGTAGGGCTCATGACCTCTTGTGGATTTGTAGAGCACCTTTCCTATTACTCAGGGACAGTGAGGGGCCCTAACACATCATCCCACCACAATGTGATTGAGCCTCAGACCTTTTAGACACTTGGCTTTTCTCCTTTCCTCCCTCTGAATCAAAACAGGACTAAGTCTCTGTTGGCTTCTTTCCATCCTGAGATGATAACATGAAAGTAAAAGCAGAATAAGTATTTTCTGTTATCTTTTTGTTCCTAAGATGTGTTCACTTTCAAATGCATCCTACTCATCCAGAGTAACTGTCTTGACATCTCTCTTTTCCCCTTCCCCTTTCTTCACATAAATCTTAGGAGAAAGAAAAGATGTAAGGAAACAAGTGGGAATCTTGTATTTATTGGTTCAACTACTTACTCTGACTTGGGTGGCAGGATTTATCAATGCTGATGTATTGCATGACCAGTACTGTTACCTTTAATTTATACTGATCATGTTTAACCTATTCTGAAAATACTTAGTATTAACATTTAACATAATGTTTAATACCTGTGTAATTTTTGTAATTCAGCCTATACCTTATTTTTGTACTTAGCTTCTTTTCATCTTCTATTATGATAGCCTTATAAATAAACCATCCTGCATATGAAATACTTAATCAGAAAGAATTAACTAGAAATGAAAGTGCCACACAGGTATATTCCTTTTGCTCTGCATGCCAGAATGTTTGCAAGAATATATATAATTTTTTACCCACTTACACTGTATCAGTATCTTTTCTTTCTTCTAACTATTGCCATAGGTAGGTTTTATCACTTTTAAGTTTCTTGCCCTGTGTGGTGGTACACACTTGTAATCCCAGCACTCAGGAGGCGGAGGCAGGAAGATTGCGTCCACAGATTAAATGCCAACCTACATAGTGAGTTGAAGGCCAGCCCAAACTATATGGTGAGACCTTGTCTAAAAGAAAAAGTATCTGCAGTTACGAAGATGATAGTAAGGGCTGGGATTTAGCTCAGTAGTGCCCTGCCGCCTTGCAAACACAAGGGCCTGAGTTTGATCCCAGTACCAAAAAACAACAAAAAAATAAAAGTAAAAGTTCTTTACTGTATTTTCATTTCTACTTTATTGATTGATTGATTGATTGGTATTGGGGATCAAACTCAGATCCTTGCACTAGTGAAGCAGCCGCCGGAACCCTGAGCTAAATCCCTAGCCCTTCATTTCTACTTTAAAGTTACAAATTAGGTTGAACAATTTTAGTGACATTTGGATTTTGTAAACTTTTTCTCGGTTTTTTGCCTGTTTTTCTGTTATAAATGACAGACCGAACTAGAATCAGGCTTCCCCTCCCCTTATTGGGGAGTGAACTCAGGGCCTTTGCACAGAAGTAAATCTCTGGCCCCTTTTTTATTGTGAGACAGGCCAAGTTGCTAAATGGACCAGTTGGACTCCTCAGGGTTCAAGCTTGGGATCCTCCTGGTCTGCCTCACAGAGTGCTGGGATTACAGGCGTGGGCCGCTAAGTGGCTTGGCATCCCTGCTTCGGTAATACTGAGGTCTGCCCTGTGAATCTGACAGGTGGAAGATGGAGGCCCTGGCCGACAGGGAGCACGCACTGATGGACCCGGACAGCGGAGATGAGGCCTTGCTGGGCAGTGCGGCACCCCCTGCCCGGGATGGGGATGGGGATGTGCCGCGGGAGCCGCACCCAGCCGCCCCGCTGGAAACGTGGTCTCTGCCCTTGAGTCAGAGCAGTGGAAGCGAGCTGCCGGCCAGCCAGCCCCAGCCCTTCTCCTCGCACCTGGACACGGAGGACGACGACTGCGTGACCATAGAAGAGTATGACAGTGAGGGGACATAGGGGCCCGCCTGTCCCGCTGTGTGCCGCCGGATTCGTTGGCACTTTCTTCGGTGGGATCGGAACCATTTGTGTTTCTTCGATGAACTGCAAGCTGTTGTTCTTCCTCTTGAATTTCATCACGAGCACCTGGCTCCTCTGCAGTCCTGGAGTGCGAGGGAGCTCAGGCCTCCAGGCGCTCTCAGTTCTCTAGTATTTATTTAGTCCTGTGACTGGGTTAGGGAGAGGTGTTAAGCGTTTATGCCAAACATCAGAAAATGTGAAGGAAGACCCTAGAACACAAAAGCAGTGTGGAGTGTTGTAAATGGACCACAGTGTAGGATGCAAATGAGTATACATAAGTGTTGTGCCTTATTTACAATTTGTCTCCATCTTCTCAGATACCATTTTTATATGATGTACAGTGCAGTGTTTTAGATGCTTTGGAAAGTATGTAATAATTTATATCAAGATTAAAATGTTGGATCTCATTTTATTTCTGCTGTCTTTAAACGCTGCCTACCATGTACTTTCTGCCCTGTCCCTCCGACGTCGTCGTAGTACATGCATTTTCTTCCCCCTCATCAGCTTTTGTGGTGGCACACACCTTTAATCCCAGCACTCTGGGAGTTGAGAGGGGAAGATCGCCGCCAGTTCCAGCCCTGTCTGAGCCACATAGTGAGTTGAAGGCCAGGCTGAACCACACAGCAAGATCCTGTAGAAAACCGAGGAATAAGCGGGCCTGGGCGGTGTCACAGCGGTCGCACCTGAGACTGGCGCCCGCGGCTCGGCACAGCGGTGGGGCGGGGTTAATCCCAGCACTCTGGGAGTTGAGAGGGGAAGATCGCCGCCAGTTCCAGCCCTGTCTGAGCCACATAGTGAGTTGAAGGCCAGGCTGAACCACACAGCAAGATCCTGTAGAAAACCGAGGAATAAGCGGGCCTGGGCGGTGTCACAGCGGTCGCACCTGAGACTGGCGCCCGCGGCTCGGCACAGCGGTGGGGCGGGGGGT